GTAACAATTCATGATGAATATGGTTGTATGGCGAATATACACATATAACAATTCATGATGAATATGGTTGTATGGCGAATATACACATATAACAATTCATGATGAATATGGTTGTATGGCGAATATACATATTGATAGTGTGAAGAAGTGCAAATGTTTGTTTGTTTTTGTCTTTGAGTTTCGCACAAAGCTACACGAGGGCTATCTGGGCTAGCCGTCCCTAATTTAACAGTGAAAGACTAGAGGAAAGTCATCTAGTCATCACCATCCACCGCTAACTCTTGGGCTACTTTTTTACCAACGAACAATGGGATTGGCCGTCACATTATAACGTCCCACAGCTGAAAGGGCGAGTATGTTTGATGGGACGGAGACTCGATTGCGAGAAGTGTGCCCCCTCCCCCAGTGTCACAGCGGTACGTCTGCGGACTTACAACGCTAGAATCCATGTTTCGATACCCGTGGTGGGCAGAGGACAGATAGCCCATTGTGTAGCTTTGTACTTAATTATAAAAAAAAAAGCGAGAAGTGTAAATGTGCAACAATTAACCAAATGTTTTTAGTTATCTAAATCAACGTACATAAAAAAAAGAACTTATAATGCGTTATAAATATTGAATACACGTAACTCTTGTAGTTTAACAGTTCTTTGAAATAACACCGCATCATCGTCATATGGCACAAAGTAATAATTTTGAATTGTAATATGGTTAAAACAATGAGCGAAGGCGTAAACTTGACTCTTACGGAATGTTCTTGTTTCTTTCTACATTACTTAGAGGTTTTGTTTTAACCCTGCTCAAATATAATTAGATAAACACAATTTTAAATTGGTGAACAGGTAAAGAAACTGTGTGTTTTACAGTAAATACATTATTTAACGTCATAGAAAAAAAATCTGTTTTGTAACGCAAAGCTACACGATAGCTATTAGCACTCTGTCCATCGCGGGATTTGAACCACGGATTTCTATTGTAAGTCCATAGACTTACCGCTGACGCACCGGGAAATAAATACTTATAAAATGTGCTGACGAAGTGTGATGTGTAGATCGGTTGTTTGTATATACCATATACAGTACGAATTGATACCTCATGAAAGACTGTTACAAATAATCATTTGAAATAAGCATTTTGTGCTACACATCTGGCTATTCTGAATAGCTCTGTTAGTGAGCGAATGGTCACGTCGATAAAAAAAAAATGGTGCAAAGCTGTGTTGTTCTTATTGGAAAACCGTATAAGACTAGCAAGGAATGCAGTTGTTAAAAAAAATGTATTATCAGTTTTATTGCAATGTAAAATAGGTGTGAGTTTTGACAACATCCATTTATTTGTTTTCCAGGTTTTAGTTATGTATTCCTCCACTTATGTCTTGGTGGCGCTGAGCATCGATCGATATGACGCCATCACTCGCCCACTGAGATTTTCTGGAAGTTGTAGGTCTCATGACTTTTCAAACTTGTAGAAATACAGTTGGTTAATTAGTATGTTTTATCAATTATGCTAATATAGTTTATAAATGATTTTATTTGAATTAAGACTGAAAAAAGTTTACGTAGTATTAATATTTTTAGGGTTATGTCTCCATGTTAATATTATTTTTTATGAATAACATTTTAATATATGAGATGAAAGCTATGCTCTTCCAAAAAATTTAAAGACTGTACTCATAAAATATTATTTTCTGTTTTGCAAAGAAAGTTAAGTTGATTTTTACATAATTAAAATAATTTATTTTGTTGTTAATTCATTTGTTAATGATTTAGACACGTCGTAAATTCTGCTACAATAAGTATTTCATAAATAACTAAACAGCATTCTTAATGTAAAAAAAAAACACCTATGTGTAATAATATCCTTTACATTTTTGAAATTAAAATACTGATATTGCTAAAAAATAAGATTATGTAAATATTCTATTTAATCCAGAACTGTACTATAGTAATTAAGTGTATATCTTTCTTTTTTTTTTTCGTTAACCTAGGGAAGAGAGCAAAAATTTTGATTGGGTCAGCCTGGGGATTAAGTGCCCTAGCGGCGAGTCCAGCAGTTTTTTTGAACAAAGAATCCGTAATCAAAGGACGACTTCAATGTTGGATTGACATGGAGAACTGGCAGTGGAGATTATATATGCCACTTGTTGCTGTTTCCGTGTTTTTTTTCCCTGCCGTCGTTATCTCTGGGTGTTACACAGTTA